AACTATTAGTGTCAGTGCTTCAGGGGAACTCAGGATAAACTCAACCACGGCACCACCTGCTCTTGGCACGAATGTATTACAAGATAAACCCAAACTTCCGGTTACTGCGACAACTTGCATTTACACAGTGCCCCTCACGCAGGGTAGCGTCCCAGAACACTTGACTGGGGGGGGTGGGGGGGGGAGGTGGGAGGTGACGTAGACACTGCCGAAGAGGAAGGTCTTCTGGCACGATCTGAAGATGGGGAAGGAAGGGGCAAGGCGGAGGGATTGAGGAAGAGTGTTCGGAGTCTCAGGGCGTAGTGACTGAAAGTGCGATTGAAAGACCACATTGAAATAAGACTCTGTGTACCAACTAGTAAACAGGAATGGCAGCCAGCACAGGGGCTGTATGTACTTGGTACACAATTACAGGACACTTTCCTCCCCTCAGGTAACTGGGTGTCGGTCTGGCTCACCTCACAGCACTCTCGCTTCTGAGGCAGGGGCCTGTGGGTTCAGTATCAGGGTCTCTGATCACAGTCCAGGCTAACTCTCCAGTGCAGTGCTGGGGGTGGGGGGAGCACCGCTTTCCCAGAGGCATCAGCCTTTTCAAATGAGACGTCAAAACGAAATCCCGCCTGTACCTGTTATTAAAGATCCTGTGGCAAAAAGAGAAGGGGTTTCTCTCTCTCCGAGCATCCTGGTCAATAATCCCCCAAACACAATTGGTCAAAGGCTTCACAGCTGTTTGTGGAGACGTTGTTGTGCTGGGCTTGAAACACAATAACGTCAACCACCAAAGTACATTTGTTATCGCGCCTTTCGTGTCGGGAGGACGTCCCAAGGTGCTGGAAAGACAACCTTTTGACTCAAGAGGCGAGATTGCTACCAAATGAGGCAGGCTGACAGACAGTCTTTGCTATTAACGGCAGTGCTCCCAATTCTCCTGCTGACCAAGGGCAGACTTCACCCCGAGCCAGGCTGTGCCCCAACGCTAACCCTGAACAAACATCACCGTAGCGCTTCACAAAGAGATGGTTGCATTATTATATTTTATTGTGGTGTTTTTTTTTTCTTGACTCTTGATTCTCTGCGCAGGTTTGTTTTCAACGACATGAAATCTGTACAAACTGTCCTCAAAAGAAACGTTCTTTTAAAACATAGAAACAATACAAACTTTGCATATTTAAAAAGTGCAAACACCTCGTTAATAAAACATACAAATAAATTATCGAAAGGCATCAACACATTCTCATGCACCTGTCCTCCCCAAAAAATAACTTAAATCTTTTCCTTTTTTATTTAAAATCAGCAACGTCATGTAGTGGAATCCCATCTCCAATTTACAGGGGACAAACCTTACACCCCCACACACGGCCTGCCCAAGCGAGCTCTCTGGGTTGTCTCACCAGGATTGCGCTGTTGGTTGCAGCCATTGCCCCCCAGGCTGTGGCAACAGCGTCTGAGACTTTACATAACCCTCCCCAAGAGGCTCATTTTGGGTACGATTGAGCCGTGGAGTGAGACACTGGACAGATGTGAGGTGCTGGTCAGAGAGACTTGTGCATTTGCGCTTGAATGAAGTGGTCGCTTCTGTTCTCTATTCTACTGTGGAAAGAGTGGGGGGGAAATAGTAATAATAATCTTCGAGACATCTCAAAGAGCTTATACTGTCAAGCGAATTGACTGTATATTTTGTGAGCGAAACACGGCAGCCAATTGCATACAGCAGCGTCCCACAAACAGTCCTGGATTGAGTGACTAAGTTAATTTTATTCTTTTGGAGGGATTATTACTTTTATTTTGAAGGATTACCCCCAGAAAAGCGATCTGCCAATCAACTAACAACCGGGCTCCTACTTCCTGCTAGGTAAACAGAGGCGTGTGAAGTAAGGAAATTTGCCCAAAGTTTCGCCCTACCGAGGAATCAAACCCAGGTCCTCTTGCTTGCGAGGCGAGTACTTAACCACTAAGCTACAGAACTCCACCTGAGATAGGGGGAAGAGAAAGAATCGACCACTTAATCAAAACCCACTTTAACCACTGAATTAAGTAACCGAATAAAGATCAGCAGGTGTAAAATCGGAGACATTTCCTCTAGGTAGCTCATCGGCAATAAGATCAAAGCCACTTGCTTCTCTAATTAAGCGTATTCACAAGAAAGTCTGGCAGTCGCTAACTAAGCATTGACAGTAGAAATTTTCCTTTTATATATTTATTATATATATTATATATATAGCACCGCTGTATCCCAGCTGTGCCTGAATTTGGCCAGCTGTTGGCAAGCCTGTAATTCCAGAGGTTAGTGTTTTAAGAGGATGGCAGAGCCGCCGGTCACAAGTGACTTTCGGGGGAGGTGAGGGGTGGGGATGGGTTTTGCACCATCAGAGATTGCTTGATAATGTTTAAAGCATCGCTACTGGGTGTGGGTGTCCGTAACAGAGCATGCCCTGCCAGAAAGCACAGGACAGGGTTATAGCTCTGCAAGGAACAGCTCAAAAAAAAGCGTGCTTCAAATAATTCTTAAGTATCTGCTTTTTTTGGGAGGGGAGTGTGTGAAAGAGAGAGAAAGGGGAAGAGGGAAGGAATGATGGCACTGTGAGAAAGGGGGCAGCCCCCAGACACTTAATGAGAATTCAATACCCGTTCTGACTTGGCTGGAGCTCAGCACATGGCTCTTGGCCCTTTAAATAATTAAAGCCCCACCATGGCTCCACAGCGCCACATCCCGGCAGCTTTCCACACTGCAGGAAACCTCTGCACAGTTCAGCACCGAATCTTAATTGAGGTCTTTAAAGAGCAGTTGTTGTGCTCAACACAACAGCCCAGACAGAGCCCAACATATCAGCAAACCCCCCCACCCGGGTCCAACCCACTCTGACAGTGATATGAAGCAATGAGGATGTGCTGGGGGATGTGGGCGCTCAGAACTGTCTTTTAGTTGATTTATTTGATGGAGTGGCTTGTAATCTCGGGAGTGTCTATTTCTCTTTTAGTTTACTTTAAGGGAAGATGGTGACGGAACCACACACCCACCCTCAACCCGTGTCCTTCAGCCCCTGGTAGTTGGCTGGTTCCACATCAATCCACACAAGAGACACACACACACATTCGCAGTTACAGTCAGAGAAACACACACAGTCAGACACACACACAGACAAACACACATACAGAGGGAGGCACAGTGAGACACACATACACGCATCCATACCTACAGTCAGACAGACACAAAGTCAGAGACAGAAACACACACACACGCACACACACAGACAGACAGAGTAGGAGACAGACACTGTCAAACCACAGGAAAAAGCAGCGAGGATTTTTTTTAAAAAAATTGTGCAAATATAGCATTTTTTAAAAAAAACTGCGACAAGTCCCCAAAAACATGGGGAGAACAAAGCTCGTTGTGTGTCGCTGACCAGGAAAGTGTGTCACATAGTGCAGCACGTGTAGGGAGACCCAGGAGAACTAACTCCCTTTCCTGGGTGAAAGAGCATGGGGTGGAGTGGGGGGGAAGGGGCTGGCTACATTTACAGGAGAATGGATAAACAACATCAAAGGGCAAACACAGGAATTTCACCCTCTATGGAAGAACACAAGCATTTCTGAAAATATACATCCTTTTATATAGTCATTTGGTTTAACAATCTGTAGGAGCGAGTGAGTCCGATATCTTTGGAGGGAGCAGGATGTGGGGGGGTGCGAAAGAAAGCGATTATGGGCTACAGAGAGGGTTTGGAAGCTTTCACTTCCGGTTGGAATCAGTGATAAAATTAAGTTGTGTATATATGGAATTTTACAATTTTTTTCCCACAATAATAATAATTGTTGCATTTGATACAGCACCTTATCACGTCGTTGAAACATCTCAAAGCGCTTCACAGGATATACTGTAAAGTATATATTGTAAAGTGGAATGACGGTGTATTTTCGTAGACAAAATGCAGTGGCCAATTGCGCACAGCCAATTGGTCCCATAAACCGCTGTGGATTGAATGACCAGATTTTTTTTTGGGGGGGAAAAGCGATCCACCAAACAACTGGGCTCCTACTTACTGCTAAGTAAATAGAGGCGTTTGGAGTAAGGAAACTTGCCTCAGGTTTCGCCCAGACCCACTCTCACTTGCAAGGCGAACCCGCTAGCTAACTAACTATGTTACGGGACTCCAGCACTTGTAATTCTGGAGCCGGAAAGGGACACCAGTCACCAGCACACACACACACACACACACCCACCCATCTTGGCACCGGTGATACCCAGCCACATCTCAAGGATTCTGGCACAGTCCAACCACAGCAGTAAGAACCTCTCAGACAAGACGCCAGACACATCGAAACCCAATCAATCTTCTTCCTTCATTACTCACTGTTCTAACCGGAGGCTGACTCGCATTACAGTACTTTATCAAGCTCTGAGCGAGACACCAACAACCCTTTCACAAACCAGGGAGTGCGGGCAGGAGGGATGGGGCGAACGGGGGAGGAGGGTGGAAACAGAGAGGGAAAGGGAACAGAAATCACTTTGACTGATCAGTTTTCTCAGGATACGCAGTAGTCACATTGTGTGTGTGATTTTTTTTAAAAAAAGAACATTCATAAAATTCTTCTGAAAATCCCAAATCATTCATTCATTCAGAACAGCATAGTTAGTGTCAATGCCCAGCCAAAAGAGGTTTCTAAAGCCATACAAAGTGCTGTTACCACCCGCTGCAGAAGGGAGACCTCTCTCTCTTTGAAACAAAAAAAATCTACAGCTCAGTTGGCGATCAATGCACAAGAGAGATATCTGTTGCATTTGTTTTGCACAGAGGCAATTATTTGGTCTAGCAACAAAAAAAGGCTCTTAATTAATTTTCATTCTTTTTACAAAACAAACACACCCCCACCCCAAAACAAAGGGCAGATTTTTTTTAAAAAAAATACAAAAATAAAAACATCTCCAAACAGAAACGCTGAGTCAGTAACACGAGGCGAGATGAGTCGAAGTGAGGGGTGTGGGGGGGGGGGGTGCGGGGGAGAGGGGGTGGGAAGAGCAGCCGGAATAAAAATAATAATAAACCGATCTGACAGAAAGACAAATTGGCTTTTATGTATATTTTCCGGTAATCTCACGTTTCACTGTGACTTTTTGCTCAGTCGTGCAGAGGACTGCATGCCGCTGGTAACAATCTTTCTAGATTTAAAAGTCTTATCAGAAGTTTTCTTTCGGTTTGTGGGGGACTTAGTTTCTGCCTCTGGCTGTACAGACTTGGATTTAGTGGGGGAGAGGAGGGGGCGCTTGGTTGGGGTAGGGTCTTTACTGGATGCTTTCCCCCGTGTGGCTAACTTGCTGGCTGAGCGGCTGGGAGAGGAGGCCTCTGCGCTCAGCTGCTGTCCTTCCCTGAGCGCTCCCTCGCTGGGAACTTTCTTGCTCTCCACCGACTTCTTGGCCACCAAGGTGCTCTTGCCCAGGTCCGCAGACCTGCGGCTCTCCTTCTGCCTGAGTGCCGAGCGGAAGAAGGACATGCCCTTGTCGTCGGCCTTGCTGTCCCGCCTCAGGTCGGTCCTGGAGTTGGAGTCCGAAGACTTGGCTTCGGCCACCGAGGAGCTGCTGCTGGAGTTCTTGAGCCGCCTCCTTTCCAGGCGAGCGCTGTCCGTTTTGGCGTGAGGCAGCCTGGCGGTGCTGCTGCTCTTGGAGCCCGCAGCCCGGCGCTTTTCCGGGGAGGGGCTGCCTTTTCTCCCTTCCTTGGAGTCCCGTTCTGAAGTTCTCGACCGGCCCGGGGTCCTCTCCTGCGTATGCAGAGGTTTCCTCCTGGATGGCGAGAGCGAGGGTGAGTTGTGCGAGGAGGCGGCTGCCTTTTGCTTGGGCCGGGAACCCGAGGAGAGAGAGTCCTGACTCCGGATGCTGTCCTTTTTGGGTAGGAGGCTGGATGAAGCGCGTCGCGAACTGACTTTCAACTCAGACTTGTCCCGCACAGAGTTCGATCGGCGCGAGACCCTGACTGGCGACCCGGTGGGGTGGTGGGAGCTGGTAGAGGAGTGGCCTTTCCCCAGCGAGACCTTGGGATGCTCGGGAACGCCTCGGGCATTGAAGCTTTTCTTCTGCACACTCTCCAGGGCCTGCACGGCTGCCAGTAGGCTCCTTCGTGGCCTCTGGTCTTCCAGTGAGGAGACGCCACTCAGGCTGGGGGACTGAGGGCTGGACAGGTCCAGTGTGCTCTTCCGGTTGTTGTTGTCCGAAGTCTCGGACTGGGAGTTCCGTTTCTCGGGCTGTCCCATCCCACTGATGTACTGGTCCAGTGGTCTTTCAATAGGCAAGCTGGGCCTGCTGGAGCTGACTGCTTTCACCTTCAGCTCGTCCTCTCGGGCCATGCTTTCCATCACTGCCAGAGGAGCCCGGGCCTCACTGCTACTTCCCATGCGCTCAGCCTGGAGGCCCTCGACTTGATTGACTTCCTTCAACCGCCCAGCATACGTGCCCAAGTGGCTCGGTAAAGCACTGAGGCCTATATTGGCATTGGTGTAGCCCAGGAACCCTGCAGTGGGAGTGGGGTTATGAGCCGGAGATTCAAGGGAAAAGCGAGAGGGTGAGCTTGATCGCATGGTGCCCTTGGTAGACAATGGCCATTGGGATTTTGCTCCGTTCTCACTTAGCACCAAGGGACTGGCGATTGAAGATCTGGACGATAGGCTCTGGCGCTGGACACTTCGCACAAAAGGACGAGTGGAAAAACCACCTTTTAATGACAAGAATGTTTCATTAATTCAGGTTGTTTGGTATTTGTTTTGTTTTTTATAGTCATAAGCGTGTCACAAGCAGCAGCCAGCTCACTGCTGTGTCATCGTCAGTCACAGCTGTTCCCAGCGAGCTCACAAAACATAAGCTCGATTCAGTCTCTATAAAAAAAATCCCATCATTTAAACTAAACTTAAGAAAATGGAATAAAAACAGAAGTTGCTGGGAAGACGCAGCAGGTCAGGCAATAGCTATGGAGAGAGAGATTTTTTTCTCTTCATAGATGCTGCCTGACCCGCTGCGTGTTTCCAGGAGCTTCTGTTTTTATTTCAGATTGCCAGCACCTGCAGTATTTTGCCTTTTGTTTAAGAACATGGAGATCGGTATGGCACCCCCATGCTGTGTCTTGAGCCAATACATTGACAAGACACAACAACTTTAGATCTATATCGGTCCCCACGCGATTCAGAGAGTTTCCAATTAACGGAGGACATAGAGCTCCTCAAAGGCTGCCCTTTGGGTTGAGACAGTTCCTGTCCCTTGTGCGTCCAGTCGAGTATGTGTACAAACTGTTCGCAACCACCATAGGCCCAGTCTGGGATTATCAGAGGCCGTTTCACACAGCAGATTAACACATCTCCAAACTGGCAGCTTTGGGCGGGGGGAGGGGGGGGATTGGGGTGAGGTGAGGGCAACGCAATGCAAGGCTCTTTCCCACAGGAGAAACCCAAGGCGAGCATGTGCGGCCATTCTCACACTCAGGCTGCACCACGGTCCCGGACTCACTGAAAACCAGGCCCAGTAATCACAAGACAGAGTTCAGTGATTGGGTAAGTGACCAATACAGCTTTAAACACAACTTTAAACACAAAAGAGATAGAGAGAAAGAGAGAGGGCAGGAGAAGTGAAAAAGGTCGAGTGTCGCGGAGTATACAAACATACCATCGTCCTGATCGCTGCGATCTTGCGTGAACTCCACTGACTCGGAAAGCGAGACGAGGGATGTGCGTCGGGACGAGGCGGTGGAAGTGATGCTGGGCTGTTTGCTGCCGGCCAGTCGGTTTACCCAGTGCTCACAGAGCGACGAGCTGGTGGATCCTGTGAAACACAGTCACATCCGCACATTATACATCACACACTCTCACAGCACAAAAACACACCGCTTGGACCAGCGAGTCTGTGCAGTCTAAACCTACCCTCCCACTCCCCGCTCTTTCTCCCAAACAATTTTATATCTTTTTCTCTTCAAGTAAACATCTCTTTGAATCACTCAATTTACTCACTCAAGTAAATTTCAATCAATCAAAACAATAATTTGGTACTCAATCCATGACTGTTTATGGAACAATGTTGTGCTTAATTGGCTGTCGCATTTCACCCACACAATATTCAATCAATCACTTTACTATATATTCTGTGAAGTGCTTTAAGTCGCCTCAATGATGCGAAAAGGCCCTATATCCCTTCGGATGACATGTTAAACCGAGGTCCTGTCTGCCTGTCCAGGTAGACGTTAAAGATCGCATCGCACTATTCGAAAAAAGGGAGTTTCTCTCTCTCTCGATGTCCTGGTCATATAATCCCCCAAATAAAATTGGTCATTTCTCCATGGCTGTTTGTGGGACATTGTTGTGCGCAACTGGTTGCTGTGTTTCGCCCACAAAATACATATTCAAACCCCTTTACAATATATCCTGTGAAGCACTTTGAGACGTCTCAAAGATGTGATAAGGCCCTATATCAAATGCAAGGATTATTATTATTATTTAATTGAGCTTCAAACCTGTTCCATGCAAACAGCTCAGTGTGCAGTGGTATGATTTAACACTACTGCTGAGATACAATAGAATACAAAACTACATTTCTAAAGCCCCTTTCAGTCAGAAGGACATCCGACGGTATTAAACAATCAGGGAGGGTGGAGGGCAGAGAGGGTAGGAGATGGGTGTAGATCAGAACACGAGCAGCAGCCAGTGTAGATGGTGAGATGATTACCTGCTAGAGAGCTGTTGGCTGACCAGGAGGGGATGGCGCTTCGCCTCTGGTAGAACAGGATGTAGGCCGTCTGCTTGCACACATCCTCGTCTGGTATGTGCTGCACATCGCTGTCATCGAAAGCATACCACAGCCCGTCCACAGAGTTCTTGCAGTAAGCTGGGCAGATATTAATCAGGGTCATTGCTCGCGCTCAGAGATAACCATAAAGAATGAATGTCCCACAGCAGGTAGACTGCCAGTCCCAGTGAGGGCTCAAACTGTTACAGTCCTGGTCCCTGTGCCTGGCATTAGGTGAAGCAAAACTTCAGGCAAGTTTCTTTGTTCCACACGCCTCTGTTTACCAGCAGTAAGTAGGAACCCGGTTGTTAGTCAATTGGCAGATCGCTTTCTGGGGGTAATAATTCTCTCCTCCCCACCCCACCCCACACAAAATCTTGGTCAGTCAATCCACAATTGTTTTTGACACTGCTGTGTGCAAATGACTGCCACGTTTCGTCCACAAAATACACGGTCACCACATTTCACGTAGTGAAACGCTTTGAGTCGTCTCAACGACTCGATAAAGCGCTGTATCAAATGCAAGGATTATTATTATATTATTATCTTACCGGTGTAGTGGCCTCCATGCATGGTTCCATGGTGATTGCACACAGCGTACAGATCGTAGAGGTAGTCCTCGGGATCTCGGCCCAGCCCGTACGGCCGTCTCCACGGGGACCAATGGGATGGGAGGCTCCAGCTGCTCTGACTGCGCTTCACTACATGAGGAGTCATGTCCAGGCCGGTGAGGGGGAACCTCACCAGGTTTTGCAGTTTGGTCCTTTTATCCCCTTCCTGTGGGAGGAGCAGAGCCAATTGAGGCATCCGATCGGTCGAGATGTTAAACAGATAGATTGTCACAGGAGGGCAGCAAGGATGTGCATTCAGGTGTTTGAAAGGGAGAGATACATACTGGGGAAACAGGGGTGTTGGTTACTGCTTCACAGCTGTTTGTGGGAGGTCGCTGTGGACAAATTGTCTTACACTCTCTACATTTACAGGATAGTCCGTGACGCGCTTTGGGACATCCTCCTGATGTGAAAGGCGCTGTATCAAACGCAAGCCATTACTTTGCAGGATATGTGGGAAAAGGCATTTTAAAAAATTGCCATGAAGCAATAAACTGACACAACATCCAATTCCTCATCCATTTTACAGGTTGGCAAATGAATCTGAGATTTGATTTTCCGAATGCCTCGCTCAAAATAATTCCCCATTCAAAATAATTAGTCAGAAATCAGAACCCAGAAATCTGTCGCTGAAAGTACCTGTTTGAAGCGCTTGAGGTGAATGATGAGCACGTCAGGGAGGGTCCACAGACTCAGCTTGATGCTGCCCTGCTGAAGCTGCTTGCAATGCGGGCACCGCCAGGCATCGTCCGGGGCAAGCTTTACACACAAGCAACAGGCAGGCAAGGCGTGACCAGAAATAAAAAGATTACAGCCCCGTAAACAGGACCAGTGTTAAATCCTGATCAACATTTCGCCCGCAATTATACAATCAATTCACTTTACAGTATAATCTGTGAAGCGCTTTGAGATGTCTAGAAGACGTGAAATGCGCTACATCAAATGCAAGGATTATTATTATTATACCGTAATAAGCTGAGGAACCAAGCACCATTACTCACCAATAAATCCTTTTTCAAACACTTTCCCTAAAACTGCTGAAATATAGCTCTTAGGTCAGTTTCTTTACCCAGTTCAAAGACTGAGTAAGTTTAGCTATTTTAGTTCATCTGTTTAACCAACAAATTCCCCCAAATGAAAAAAAAATGGTCACTCACTCCATGGCTGCCTGTGGGTCATTTCTGTGCAATTAATTGTCTGCCGCGTTTCACCAGCAAATTGCAGTCACTACACCTTACAATATATTCCATGAAGCTCCTTGAGTCATCTCAATGACTTGACAAGGCGCTATATCAAATTCAAGTATTATTACTCTCCAATCCTCAGCAATGTACTTACAGATAAGTCGTGCTATATCAGCACAGAAGGGTAAGAAATACTGCAGGGACGGCCAATATCACACTATACCTCAGCTTCTCAATCCCAGGATGGTTGTGGTAGGAAATCCAAATTACAGCTTGCATGTGATCTCAGCCCCAGTGCCCCACATCACAGGGCTCTATATTCACCCCACGTGGACAAGGTGAGAGATGCGTTTTACCTGTGGTTAAAACAGGACTGGAGCAACTCACAACTGTGTGGGGGGGTGGGGGGTGGGGGTGTTTTTTCTATCCCCAGACTATTCCTAACCTAAAGAATAATGCTTAAGGGAGCCTCGCTCAGTGCCCTTCGTGGTTACCTGCTCCTCTTTGGTGTAGAGATGAAAGCACTGGGACAGCGTGTAGGTCTGCGGCTGCTGATGGAGCTGCTGCTGGAGGCGGACAGTCTCCGAGTCGGGCACGTATTCGTCCTCGGCATTCCCGAACAAGCTGCAATCGGAAAGCAGAGCTGCTACAGGGGCAGCCCCGGCAAAGCCCAGGACCACTGTCTGCATCCTCTCACTGCATCTCTCCACGGCCTTGTCTCTTAATACCTTACCAACCTTCTCGCTCCCTCTGCTTGACGGGTACTGGACGGCTCCACGTCCCCCACCCTCTCCACCATCGGAGGACAAGCCTTCAGCTTTTCTGCCCCCACCCTCTGGAACTCCATCCCTGAATCCCCATACCTCACCTTCTTCAAGGCCTGTCTTAAGGGCATTCGGCCTCGTTGACCGTGCCTTTGGCCACATTCTCAGCTCACATTAAGATGTCCACTTGCCCCTGCCCCATCTCTTCCCCCGCTCCCCACCCACCCATTCACTCCCGTTGTTACTGGAAGAAATGTTGAGCGTTTCCCCTGGTTATCCCAATGGGCAGTAAAACGTACTATTCCTTGGTCTCCTTGTCCCACTCTGCAGTCACCTTCACATGTTGGGGCCCACCAGGTCTGCATGACTTCAACGCTCTGAAAGAGAGAAAGACACGGAGTGACAGAACGACAGAGAGATGGGTCCTCAGCATCAATGCTCAGCTTCCCCCCCCCCAACACCCTCAGGATTGAAACACAAATACATGGTGGAGCTTTTAACTGTGAAGAAGCCACGTTTACTACAAAGCCACCAGGATATCTGGACATTTCTCACAGAGCCTGGCTTGTGTCACCTCACAGTTTGGGAGAGGAGCTTACATTGACATTCTTTTCAGGCCTAGATGAAGATCCCCAGCTGCAATGTCAAACGTAAACTGGCCAGTGACTAGATGTCTATAACACAGCCCTGGAACAAATACAACACAGTGTGCACTCCAGAGACATTTAAGGTCTCTCAGTCACCCACACAGGTAATAAGAGGTGAAGTTTTACCTTTCCATGGTAGCCTGGGAAAGGGGGTATTCTTCCTGAGGGGATAGGTAACTCTTGCCCATAACTCCTCCAACTACTCGCAGACTGAATGGGCCAACCTGCCAAGAACATAGAGCACAACACAGTCAATAAATCAAAGCTCTCTCCTCCAAACACCCTCATGTCACACGACAACAAAAACAACAACTGGCATTTAGACAGTTACCATTTGTGCGGGATAACGTCTCAGAGCACTTCATACATAAAGAACAGAGTAAAGAGAGTGTGCATTCCATTTCAACAATCTATCTCTGGAATTTCCATGTGTAATAGGTAAATAATAACCCTTGCGTTTGATATAGTGCTTTATCAAGTCTTCGAGACATCTCAAAGCGCTTCACAGATATACTATAAAGTTAATTGACTATATATTTTGTGGGAAAAATGCAGCAGCCAATTGCGCACAGCAGTGTCCCACAAACAGTCATGGATTGAGTAAACATTTTTTTATATAAGAAGGATCATTATCCCGGAAAAGTGATCTGCCAGTTGACTAACAACTGGGTTCCTATTTCCTGCTAGGTAAACAGAGGCATGTGGAGTAAGGAAACTTTCCCAACATTTCGCCCTGCCCCGGGAATCGAACCCAGGTCGTCTTGCTTGCGAGGCGAGTGCTCTAACCACTAAGCTGCAGGACTCCTCATGTTTAGGTGGGATGCATGGAATTCTCAGTCTGGTTTGGAAACTCTTAAGCATGGTGATGGGTTTCTGCGTGTATTAGACACCCGGCTGGGGTGTCTACGACTGGTCGGCTCCATCAGCAAACAATACTCAGCTGTGTGTCCACAGGCGTCCTGCTGTCTGCTCTCTGACTTACTTTTCACATATCTGTGTAAATTAACATGAGAGCACAGAGTGTGCACAGAGCCTGGAGGGAGCTATGTGATATTGCGCAGAAAAATGAGCAATTTCAGCTTGCACTAGGGATATCAGATAGTACAGCATTATACAGTAACACAATAGGCACCCAGAGAGGTTCAGTAACACAGAACGCAAACATTCCTACAAGTCAATCACTGCTTACCTCAGTGTACATTCCTGGCCTGAAGAGATGTCGCATTTTTTCCAAAATGTCTTTCTGCAGAGCTTCCCATGTTACTTTACGATCCAAGCACAGGACGAAAGGATGTCCAAACCTACAGAAGCACAAATGAAGGGAGAAGAGGAGAAAGAAACAGATTTCAGAAGTCTATTAATAACTTACATTAATGTGGCACGTGAAGTCATGTGAATTCTCAAAACACCTCACAAGACAAAACAAATAATAATAATGAGAATTGAGAAATAAAGTGGAGCCAAACATTGCAGCTGATCTGTGCCAGCGCAGGGTTGGGTCCTGACACTCCGGCACACAGTGTGGGGCTGGGGGAGCGAGGTATTGTCAGAGGTGCCATTCTTCGGATGAGACATTAAACCGTCCCGTCTGCCTGTTCAGGTGGATGTTAAAGATCCCATGGCACTATTTGAAAAGAGAAGGGAGATTCTCTTTCCTGGCCGACATTCCCCCTAAGTAAAATTGGTCACTTACTGTGTACAAATTGGCTGCCGCATTTGCCTATAAATTTACATTTTACAGTAAATACTGTGAAGCACTATGAGACATCCTCCTGACTTGAAAGGTGCTGTTTAAATTTAAATTTTAATTGAATTTTAATAATAGTCAAAAGAGACTATAAATATCTGGAAATAAATCCACAAGTTGAGGGTTAAAAGAATGTTAGCTTTATGAATCTATCCCCAATTATATACATTATTACATATAATTATTACATAGGAAACCATTGTCGAAAGAGTGCGGCTGACACACAAGTGTCAGCCGGACGCTTTTGAGTTAAGTCCTCGATTAGTCAATGCAGACAAAGATTAGTCTAATCAATCAGCTGACAAGAGGAAGGAGTGGATTCGGAGAAGATGTCAATAGACTAATTGTTCCATCAATAGAAACATGGCTTGAATTTATAGAGAGGTATCGAAATCTGCGGCTGAAATGAATACAGTCCATGTAAGTCTGTGTTATTTTTGGCCTATCATATGCGCACGCAAATTCAGAATACATTGTCAATTGCAATGGCAGACAATGTGTGGAGATTAGTCTTTAAACAATTAGTGCATTTTGTAAAGGTTAGAGCTGTGATTTCCTTCCCATTATCAGCTCGTTGTAATCTGGTCGATTAAGCCACTGCCATCATTGGCTTCATTTAAACTGCACAGACGTGGCCCTTGTTGACACCTCAGGGAAACTCGCTCAGGCTACAATCTAAGATCAGTAGAATCAGCAATGATTGCAGATAAATCCATCTTACTTACCTCTTCCCCTGCTGCCCAGAGCAGCAGCGGTTACACACCAGCAGCACTAGCTTCTCATACCCCGAGCTGGTCACCGCCACTCTCTCCCGTTTGATCTGCTTCACTCCCCCATGCGAGTGGACTGAGGACGAGTGGTGATCGCTGCTGAACTTCAGGTTGTTCTGGTTTATGTTTGTCAGCGTCCCTATAGCACGAACATGAAGCACTTCACCGGCGTGTCAGAGACAGGTTAACTGTTCATCAGCGCAAGCTTTGGAGTCTCCATAGTGTAGTGGTTTAGCGCGCTCGCCTCGCAAGCGAGAGGACCCGAGTTCAATTCCCGGGCAGGACGAAAACATAGGCAAGTTTCCTTATTCCACACACCTGTTTACCTACAGTAAGTAGGAATCCAGTTGTTTTCTGGATTGAGACTGGATTGTTTTCCGGGGGTAATAATCCTTCAAACAAAATGTGGTCGCTCAGTGACCAGTTTATTAGGTCAGACCATATAATTTAATTGCATTCCCCCACACCTTTTTAATTATTTTTTCCCTTTATTTAACCCAAATATCTGTCTCCCTTTTAAACCTCTTTAGTCACCTGGGCCAGTGCATTCCCAGTCTTCCAACCCTCTGAGAAGAAATATTTTCACATTTAACACTCTTGCTCTGATTTTTAAGCTGCTGCCTCTGGGTCTGGAATGCAAGGTTCATAGTGAGCAGTGTAGACTTGGCAGCAAATCCTCTCATCCTCCTGGCTATGAGAAGCCGGCACCCAGAAGCTAAACCTCCTCCACATCATACAGACCAACCAATTGTTGCTGCCCCTTCAAGAGCTCGACAAGCAAATATGCTCCCACCCCGCCCAGCCTCCCACAGCTATTTTAATAAGTAGCCTTTAAGGAACCAACTTGCACTGATATAGCACCCTTCAAGCAGGATAGTGTGGGAGCGCTGACAACACCTCACACTGACCACTTGCTACTCATGCTGTGTTATAGGAAATCGCATTCACCACCATCACAGACAGCACTCAGGCTGTACACAACCACACATACCTCTCTGACCTGTGTAGTTCACGGGCGTCTCAAAAGCATAAATACAATCATTTTCATGAATGGTGTCCAGGTCATCGTCGTCACTGAAGGTACGATGGAATCCGTCGTAATACACTTCAGTCAGGACAATCTAAAACATGCGGGGTGGGGGGGTTTAAACACAAAGACAAACAATTAAAGACACACATTACACAGACACAAAACCCATCCAGCGCACACCACTCCCAAGTTATGCAGTAAGCAACACGCAAACATAGCCACAAGGAGGCCATCAAGTTCATGGTGCTCGAGCCACAGCAGGTATGGGGTGTCGTGGGAATCAACAGATCAACAGAAGGGAGGTTAGGGGCGGTAGAGGATTCCACAAATCCACCAGCAAGCACTGTCTAATAGCTGCAGTTCTATTCTCTTCATACATCCTCCCTGCCCTCCCCGGCATCAGTGCGGAGCACAGTTTACTGCATGGGTAAACATTTGCACAGTGCCTTCCTGAAAATGCTATTACACTGCAGTGGCAATACAGACAGTCTGGCAATATCAGAAATCCGTCCCTCCTGAGCCTCTATTAGCCTGAGCTAGTTTTTAGACATCAGTGTGATCAATGACTGGCTGGCACAACTACTGAACACATGTATTGGAGCAGCAATTGCTCCATTGATCTGGGTTATCAGTCACCAGCAAACTTTACCACCACAGCGGCCATGGTAACAGTAAAGGATTACCATCCCGAGGACTAACGTGCTGTAATTACAAGCCATAGAAATTCCTCTTTTGGAGTTTGAAAACGTGACAAAATCCAGCGGCAATCAGACACGTGCAGAGGCTCAGCGAGGCTGAACATTGTAAATCGGATTGTATACAAACTGAAGCATGTGGAGAAAAACAGTGCCAGGCACAGTGTGGGACAGGAGGTGGACATGGCTCTGCTTCTACTCAGTGTTAATCTCAGACAGCCCGGAGGCATCGTAGCTAGTGCCATCTGAATGGCTCCAACCCTCCGCTCTGAGTAAACCGCCCTCCCTTGGCCAAAATCCAGCAGACCCTCGAGGGGCAGCTGCACACTTTATCAGGCATATATTTGCTGCTCTGTTCTCGGTACAAAATAAATAGCACCCACGGTACATATGAGCCAGCAACTCTACCTGATCGGTGGGGATTTTGGTTTCTTGCGCTATTGCCTCGCGGAGTTTGCTGACTGTGCCAGATAGTGGGACAGCAACTCCTATCCTCATACAGTGCGAACACTTGCCTTCATAAACCACAGTGATATTTAATGGCCTGTGAACACAGAAAACAGCTGTTGTTAGACTAAAGGGCTTCAAAGCGGCCGAAGGTTTTCATTTTTCTGATCAAATGTTAGCCGCACCCCTCCCGAGAAGGAGACTGTTCACTATAAACCGGGAGGTTGGCGGAGAAATACAAACCAAAAAAAACTATCAACCACTTCCCCAATTTTCAATTCACTACGTGAATCATGATCAAAGCAGGACTGTGTTACTCTTAGTCTAAGAAATCACTGGAGCTGTTTTTTATTGGTGGTGGTGGGTGTGTGTGTGTGTGTGTATATAAGAAAAGAGGGTTAGACATCAACAGAAGCATATTGAGAGACCGATCTGAATAATTCCTTGCATTTATACAAGGCGGAGGAGGGTTGGTTATGCCAATTAAGTTGAGAACCTGAAAGTTCAATGTTTAAGGGGAAGCAGAACGTATGGTTTGAAGAGTTTCTCTTTCCCCGGGTGGCACCTAAACTCACTAAAGTTTTTATTAGGTCGGAATACCCGTGCTGAAACCAGCAGTAAGCAGTATGCTAGCCGACAGGGAGATAATTAAAACTAATTACTGGATACTGCTGCCTCGCCAACACTCAAAGGAGCAAAGCTACATTTCTACCAAGAGCCCCTGCTCAGCGCTTAATACATACGGTTTGAATACAAGATTACAAAATATTCAATAGAAAAGCGGTTTACTAACAGCATCACGCCATTTCTAAACCCCGTTTGGGTTATAATGCAGTAAATCCGATAAATCTCTGACAGGCTGGGAAAAGAGCTCAATCAATCTGGACAACTGTGTTCACTGCACAATCACACAATTTAAACAGATGCTTTTGCTCACAGTTAGATACCGAGTGTACTGAGAGAGAGAGAGAGAGAGAGAGAATAAATAATTAATCCTTGCATTTGATATAGCGCCTTATCACGTCTTCAAGACATCTCAAAGCGCTTCACAGAATATACTTTAAAGTGTAATGACTGGTAAAGAGAGATCTGTACAAAAACGTGCATTTACAGAACATCCTTCAGACAGAATAATGTCTGGGTTTTTACAGAGACAGTGACACCACAAAGCAGGAGGGATGGGAGAGAAGGGCAGCAAGAAGTAGGTTTTTAAGGAGACTTTCAAAGACAGAGACGGGTTGAGTGAGGGGGTTCCAGAGTGTGGTGGCGTAGTGGCTGAAGCCACTCAGTGGAAAGGGCAGAGACGCACAGGACTTCAGGCTCAAGTTTTCTGACCAGAGGGCGTGAGCAGAAGAGCAAGCCTACAGATGGTCGCAAAGGCAGGAAGGTGTTGAATTCAATCTGGGAGACACAGAGGTGATGGGCTTGTTTCATGCAGCCATGGATACAGACAGGGGACAGGGGAATGAGCTGAGCTTCTGGATGGTGGAGCTGCGGAGGGTCAAACCAAATGCCAAGATTGGTTCACTGTTTCATTGAGTTGGGAGAAAAAGGCGGAGAATAATAATAATAATTCTTGCATTTGATATGGAGCATTCACGTCGTTGAGACGTCTTGAAGTGCTTCACAGAATATATTTTAAAGTAGACTGACTGTATACTTTGTGGACAAAATGCAGCAACCAATTATCCCACAAACTGTTGTGGATTCAGTGACAAATTTTTTTTTGTTTTGTTTGGAGGATTAATAATAATAATAATCCTTACATTTGATATAGCACTTTTCACGTCGGGAGGACGTCCCAAAGTGCTTCACAGAACACACTGTAAAGTGAATTGACTATATATTTGTGGGCGAACGCAGCAGCCAATTGCGCACAGCAATGTCCCACAAACAGTCGTAGATTGAAAATGACCAATTTATTATTGTTTTGTTTTGGAGGGATTATTATTAGGCGTGTGGAGTAAGGAAACTTGCCCAAGGTTTCGCCCTGCCTGGAATTGAACTCAGGTCTCTCGCTTGCAAAGCGAGTGCTCTAACCACTGAGCTACAGGACTATCCCCAGAAAGTGATCCAACAATCGACTAATAACCGGGTTCCTACTAACTGCTGGTAAACAGAGGCGTGTGGAATAAGGAAACTTGCCTAAGGCTTCGGGCGTTGATATTGGCAACAAAACTGGAGCAGTAACAGGTGAACACTTACCGGCTCTGGAGCAGTGGAATGGGTAAGGAGATGCAGAGGAACGGGTCAAAGGTGTTGCTCTGTTTTTGGCAATGAGGACACGTCAATGAAGACCTAGAGAAAGTTGGGAAGGCAAAGGCTGGGTGATCAACTGAAGCACAAAATGACCAACTGCTGGAAGTAGCCCCCCAAAAGTAAAGTGACCCCCACCCCAAAAAAATTGGTTGCCATCCCCTTCAGACCATGTGTGTCAGACAGCATTGAGTACAGGTATTGGAGAAAGCTTGTAGTCCTGGTTTAAAGCCATACCACGAGAGCAGGTTGGAAGCCTGTATGATATTAAAATCAATTCTCCTCCCACTCCACCCAACAGTGACTCCCAGTGGAATCTCAAAGCCACACTCACCTATACTGGGCCTGGAAGAGCTCCTGCACGAAGCTGCTCCTCAAGCTGGGTGATGGTCCTTCACACAACTCATCTTCAGCTCCCGGAGGCTGAAACAAGGACAAAAGCTCAACCGTCACCAAACAAGAGTCCCAATCGCTACTACCGAAGCTAGAGGTAAAGCTTCCACTAGTCCCACTCAAGTCCAATTGCTCTCGAGTGGTTTCTGCCTTCTACAAATTCCCCAAAATGTATCATTATTATTGACATGTCACAACTACATGATAAGGCTCTATGTCTAATGCAGGAATTATTATTAATTAGTAATAATAATCCTTGCATTAGATATAGAGCATTATCATATTGTTGGGACATCTCAAGGGTTTCATGGAGTTTATTGGAAAGTAAATTGATTGTCCATTTTGTGGGCGAAACGAGGCAGCCAATTGTGCATAGCAGTCATAGATTGAGTGACCACTTTTTTTTTATCACATTGGAGGGATTATTAACCCCCCCACCGGAGAGCGATCCGCTAATCGACTAACAACCTGGTTCCCACTTACTGCTAGGTAATCAGGAGTTTGTGGAGAAATGAAACTTGCCCAAGGTTTCGCCATGGCCGGGAATCGAACCCAGGTCCTCTCGCTTGTGAGGACTAACCATTACTCTACAGGTCCACACATTACGAGACAAACCATAAAGATAAGCGGAGCTAAGATATAAACACCCTGAGTTACTGGATGAATCTTCTGGCTTCAGACCTCTGAGAGCCGCTGGGTACACGTACCTTGGCAGGCGGCCGCCCGTTGGTTAACACGATTTGGTGAAGGTCCTCGTGCACTCGGTCTAGCAGCCACAGCAGAAACTCCTGGGCGTCGTGCTGGGAGTTCCCCCGATACTGGAAAGCATTCTTGGCAACAACGTTCTGAAAGAAATGATTTTAAGGACATTTCTTTAAAATCAGCCATCAGAACACTGGGAAAAAATCCATTCTCTTTTCCAATAGGGTAAACATCCACTTGAAGACAGGCAGACATTTAAGGTCTGATCTGACGGATAGCACCATTTTTTTATTATACAGACACACACCCTTCCAGGAAAGTCATGCTGGAGTCCCAGTGCTCCACTGGAGGATCAGCCCAGACTAACAAGAGAGGAGAGTGCTACCAATAGAGGCAGACTGACATAGCTGGCAGGAGCAGTTTGACTCCTATGTTCCTTGAGAACTCCAGTCTTAAGACTCTCCTCTTCGACCGCACCTCAGCTCATCTCCCCCCACTCCACCTCTTGACACCAGCCCGCAGCTCGGGTGCAAACCCTCAACTGTCCAGCAACTTGGGACATCCTGCCGATGTGAAAGGCACTATATAATGCAATTTGTTGTTGTTGAGAAGCACGCAGTTAAAGAACTCTCTGACTGGAGACAGCAGAACCTTTTGTAATGTGCAACCAGTGGAATGTACTGATATGTACAGAGCTGCTCATATGACTAAACAAACATGACTGATAAAACCTAAGAGATCAATGCTTACAGATGATTAGAATTGAAGACAAGATTGCCACAGACTCATTCACCTGATTAAATTACTCCTTACCAACTCACCGTAACTGATTTTTTTTGGATGTGTGTGTGTGTGCATTATTCACAAACATAGTTCACAGTGCAGCTAGCACCTCTCCTAAGAGCAACTGAAAGTTGAAGTGTAAGACAGACAGCTTTCAGGTTCTAGCTACAGACTGACCAGAGACATTTACCAGTATATGAACCACGTGAAATCAAGATGCCAAACAGCTCCAACTGAGACATATTCCAAAGTGGCATTCTGCACTGCTGGGTAACACTGATGAGTCAAAACCAGAAGTAACACCAGCTTCTACTTCGGACCACGCTGAACAGCTGCTTAACCCAGCACAAGTCTGTATTCAGCTATTGAGTTTCAGTCCAAAATACTGTGCACTTACATGCAGCGTGTTTCATGGAATTCATGTCTCAAAGTCCCTCACAGACACATAGGAGATCTCCATGCAAGCTGGGAAACCTGTGTGATTTCAAATTTGAAATGTTTTTTTTAAATCAGGGTCTTAAAAATTCACGTTGCGCAGAACTTTGGCAAAATCTTAAATTTGTTCTCAATTTGGGAACCTGTTTGTGTGGTACTTAAAAAGCTTAGCCATTGAAGGAGGCTGTTTTAACTACAATATGCTGCCAATGTACCAAACAAGCTCCAGAATGCTTTCCTTTCATTTCTCTCGCCAACATATACACACGTTTTATCAATTACTCCATTAATAAACACTGAAAACAATGTTCAGTCTTGATTAAAGGAGATTGGACTGAGATGATTAGATGGAATGTGGCTACAATGTGCCTACATACTTCACACCAGCAGACTTAAGAACAAAAACATCGCCAGCATTTAACTTCCCATTGACTGAACGTTTGAACTGGGCATTACGAGTTCATCATTTTAGCTCCACACAAAAAGCGTTTAACTGGCCTCGCCCTGGTTAGCCACTTTGCTGTGTCAGCACACATCGAATCCCCTTATACAAACATTCCACACATTAAACCACAAAGGCTTAATCCAACGCTGGACGGAATCGCTTCCAAGCACGACGGCCAGCACCTGGGGCCAGTTGCTGTCTGGATCCCGTGACGTGCAAGTGGTTCAGATAGTTAAAGACAGAATAATGGACAACCAGTTTCGTGTTTAAAAAGTATAATTCAAAATAATAATACTTGCATTGATATAACACCTTATCACGTTGTTGAGACGTCTCAAAGAGCTTTACAGACTATACTATAAAGTGAATTGACTGTATATTTTGTGGGCGAAACATGACAGACAATTGCGCACAGCAGTTTCCCACAAACAGTCATGGACTGAGTAAACAAATTTCTTTATTTTTGGAGGGTTTGTTACCCCCGGAAAGCAGTCCGCCAACTGACTAACAACTAAGTTCCTACTTACTGCTAGGTAAACAGAGGAGTGTGGAGTAAGGAAACTTGCCTAAGATTTTGCCCCACCTGGGAATCAAACCCAGGTCCTCTCGCTTGTGAGGTGAGCTATGGGATTCCAAAACGATGGGTTCAGAGGGTGTCAGAAAAGCTAACAAACCCCAACATTTAATTCCAACCCCGAATTCCAACAAAAATTAAACAGTTCGGATTACTAGAGATTGCAAATTGTATGGAGTAAGCAAAAAAAACACCCACAAAGAAACTGGGGCGCAGAGCAGTATGCTAGCAAGTTATACATTTGTCCAATTCACCTGAAACAAACAGGCAGCCAATCTCAGTGCTCAGCCTGCAGAAGAAGGAATAATAAAAATACTAATCCTTGCATTTGGTACAGCACCTCAACGCGATTCCCTGGAAGATAGTAATGCTTCAAATATTGCAGAAATAATAATCTTTGCAGTTGGTATAGAGCCTTATCACATCGTTGAGCTATCTCAAAGTGCTTCACAGAATATACTGTAAAGTGAATTGACTGTATGTTAGTAGAAACCTGCCAAACCACAGACCATTTCAAATCCGCCTTCTTCTGTAGAATTGCTAACAAACTGGATACATGGTTTAAAATCTATCAACATTGTAGCCTTGGTCCACCTTAAAGATCAATAGCCAGCAGAACTGCCTGTTTTTATGAGTCCACGCCACCTTCCATCATAGTTAGAAATGAAATAGCTTCAGGATTTGCACGAGGAACTCTTCAAGCACTTAGCCCAATATAAATGTCAGAATATTAATCATTGGAGGAGCAGTGTTCCTATACACAACTAACTGCACATTCCAGCAGGCTACTTACAGAGAGAAACGGGGAGATGTGTAGAGCACTGAAGGGTCATTTTGTGGGAGTCAACCTCTAAGCTGACTCTGACAGAATGGAAAATGATCAAATGTGGTATTTTCCAAGAGGTGCCACAGAACATGCAGACCCTCTAAACTGCCCTCAAGAAATGCAAAGCTAATGGAGTCAATAACTAGAAGTGAAATTATTGCAGGACCTGTTGGGCTGTGAAGGGGATCCTGCATGACAACAAGATCAATAAATGTCTTTAGAACACAACAGGCCAACCTAAGGCCAACGGGGTTGTCCTGTACCCACCTACACTTCAATACAATAATAATATAATAGTGCATGTGATATGGCACCTTATGTCTTCAAGACGTCTCAAAGCACTTCACAGAATATACTGTAAAATGTGAATGGACCGTGTTCGCTGGGTGAGCAAAAAACGGCAGCCAATTGCGCACAATAGTGTCCCACAAACAGTCGTGGATTAAGTGACCAAATTTTTTTTAAAAATGTCATTGTATTTTTGAAGGAAAAAACGATCTGCCAATTGACTAACAACCGGGTTCCTACTTACTGCTAGGTAAATAGAGGTGTGTGTGTGTGTGTGGAGTAACAAAATTTGCCTAAGGTTTTGCCCTGCCCAGGAATCAAACCCATTCCTCTCACTTGGGAGATGAGTGCTCTAACCACTACACTACAGGACTCCACAATGTTAAACTTGACAATAGTAAACAAGTTATAGTGCTCTCCATTTACAATGTTGTGTAAGACGTAGCCAGTAAATCACATTCCTGATCCTGTTTCAAAAGTCTATCCAGATACTGCTACTGACACAGTGAAGAAGGCAATTAAACCAATCAATTGAAGCGATCAGGCTTTGGACAGAAGCTCAACTACAGGAGTTATAAAAACTGCCACAAGCAAGTTGAAGGCGGTTGTCTGTCCCAGACAGAAACATCAGGTCTGCATGACCTGGCTTATGATCACACAACAATTTTTTTTTAATAAAACACACACACAAACACACTGCAGAGAAAGCAACCAGCTGAGCTGTAACTTGAACTGGCATTGAATCAGTCAGTCTGAAACATTGTTCTGAGTGACTAGACGTCTGACATCACTCCAGTAACATCTGGGACTTGCAGCGTCTAATGGGCGCCTGACATCAATTCACTTGCTGCCCTGATGGGACCGGGAGAATTTAATTGGGATTAGCGAGGCTTTGCCAGAAGGACGGAGGCATCACTTCCCAGATTACTTTTACCCTGGAGATTTTCATTATTCTACCTCCCACCATTTGTGTTAGTAAAACTACTTTGACTGAAAGCCCTCCCACCACTTCCTCTTTATATGAGCTTTCAACAAAACAACAAGCTACAAAACAACAAATATTGGACCTTCGACATCAGGAGGGCACCTTAAAGTGCTTCACTCAGCTGTCTGGAAGCTCAAGCGTGTGGGTGGTAGTGAGGGGGTGGGGTGGGAGTAGGTGGTCGAAAGTGCCAAATAGGTTTTAAGGTTGGTTTTGAAGACGGTCAATATTGTCAAGCCCTCTTCCTTGGTCAACAGCAGCACAGTTAAATTGTATATTTATGAATGTACTGAGAACAATTTTTGATTAATAAACTAGATCCTCACTTTGAGACTCAGGGAGCTATACCAGCTACGGTAAAAGCGTAATGCAGTTCACCATTATTCCCTCAGGGTTCCTTTGGAAAAGCATCCCAGAGGATCAGGAAACACTGCGAGTGCTGGAGGTGGGGTCACTGATGGTCGAGGGCACGTTTTGTTTTACTAAATAGGAAACCGCTGACAAGGTTATTTGGAAAAACAATGAGTGACACCAGTGTCTCCAGAAGCAGAGCTACAATTCTCTCTCTTGTTGGGTTGGGGGTAGGGAGAAACCAAACAGTGTAAGTCAGCCTAAGAAATCAGGGACACTGGAGGGAAGAGGTTCAAAGTATGGGCTTAAAAGGTTAAAACACATTCTACTCTCTCTCAGATAGATTTGTTCAGTCATTGGAAGCCCCAGGCGAAAGATAGATCTAGATTATTTAAACACTTTCCAGATGTAATCAGCAGCATGGACACTGAACTTTCATTCAGAATTAGAAAGAGTAGC